ACGACAGAGACAGAGAAAGGAAAAGAGAGGAGGGGGTGAGAGGGACGCACAGAAACCCAGTTCAGGGGGGAGGGAGAAAAAAAAATCATCACCTCGCCGCCAGTGACACGGGAGACGCAGGAGGTGGCGAGATGAGGGTCCGGTCCAACCCAGCCAGAGCCAATTAATTTTCAATCCCGGGCAATGATTGCGCTGAAAATGCCCAGAAGTTTCATTCCCCTGCGCCTCCGCGAGCCTCAAGTCGTTCCCCTTTAAGAACCCCTTTTCTCTTAAAGTTGGATTTTAGGCAGCGAGGACTCTTACACTAGGGGGCAGACAGATACTGCACTTGCTCCAATCTGCAGCAATTTTTTCCCTCCCGGCATATGCTCCGATCTCGAGCACTGTAAATTTTTTCAGGGGGACCCAACTCTGACAGCCCCTGGTGATTTTCAAAGTACCACAAGCCAGCGGTTAAAAATTGCATTGACTTGGAAGTTGAGAGACACACAATAGAGGCCCCTTCTCCTATTCAGGGAGCTGCCGTGTGCTGGAAGGGAAAACACACAGGAGGAGATTGAAGGGAAGGAGCAATTCAATGCATCGTGGTGGACAGGGCTGGCTGCTACCGACTTCAGAGTCAAACTCGGCGTTTGCTGGGGTCTGCATGCATCTGGTGACCGAATTCTGCGGTCAGGCCGCCTTCTGTAATGGAATCATATTCCTGAGTTGGGGTTCCCTTTGCTTGGCTTGGGATCCCCAGAGGAAGACCAATGTTTTTCCAACTTTCTCCCGGCCAAATGAAAGCTTGCCATTCCTCTCATTAAAATAAATTTACATCTGCAATAAAAGACTGGGCTGGATTTATTTTAATTTTTTTCCAACGGTAACAATATATTGATGTTTAGCGGTTAGTCTTAGAGTTGTTGTATTTCAGAGAAATGAGCGTCTCTAAGTAAGACATTTTTAATTATTTCTCTTTTTTTTTTTCCTTCTCGGTCTGCAGTCCTTTCATACAGTAAAAATAACTGCAATTAGTACCTTTTTTTTTGGCTTTTTAATAGCATCTGCATAACTATGAATGGGTCCCAAAATACAAAGTAAAAACACTTCTGACTTCCTGGTAGCCCTGAGGTCCTGAGCCTGGCTGGCTCCAGTTCTGCTGGGGACGGTGGGGAAATCTTCATTTTAAATCTGAGGCCATCAGACTGGACTTCAAACACCCAGTTTCTCTAACTGGACTGGGGAAGCCCGTCCCCCTCAAAATTCCCCCCCTGCGTGTGTGTAAAAGGTGGCTCTTGCTGTGGAAGTGTCTGAACAAGAGGCGAGATTAAGATTTCCCCATCATCAATTATTCTATCATCTATTAAACCGAGATGGATGAATGCCCATCAGACGTCCTAGTCAACCCCAGTCCCACCACAACTCTACTGAGTTTGCCCCAGATCCACTGACATTTGCAGCATAGGGCAATTTCTCAAATCCTAGAGGTTGAAAGGGGGAAAATATTTCCCTGGAATAATTCCTCTCCCATGCTCCTTGTCCCCCTCAGGAGAAAGTTACATGGTGCCTGTCATCAACCTGAAATTCGCAGCCTGCCTTGGCTCTGTGGCAACCTCATTACACACCAGGTTTAGGAGAGCTCCCTGTCCAATATAGGTTTGTGTTTGGTTTGGTTTTTTACAACTTTCAAGTCCTCCCAGCACCTGCATCAAACAGCGAGAATTGCCCCCCCACCTTCCAGAACATTCACTGTTTCGTGAACTATGTGATTTCAGCCGGGAAAGGGTGAGAGCTAAGAGGTTTCAGAAATGAAGCGGAAAGAGGATATTTTTTTTTCTTCCCTTAAAACTAGCCCCTATCTGCCTCCATCTCCACTCAGCCCCTACCCTGTATTCTGCCTGTGTGTGCAAAGGGTATGGAATGCAAAATGCAATCTATACATGTCAGTTTCATGTGTGACGAATTCTTCTAAACAATTCTTCATCTTTTTAATCTTTTTTTAATTATCAAGGATGCTTTCTGGTGGTCGTCCCTTACAATTTCTGTGTGTCCACGTTTCCGGCAGCTCGTGTGTTTCGTGCGAAATATTCTAATTGTTCATAAACCTGGTGGGCTGACCAATGTGCAGCTTTTTTCCTGGTGCAAAGTGTGTATGACGGAGTCACCATTTTCTTTTATAAATACGGAGTAACCATAATCCACTAACTTTTTCTAATCGCACAGAGAGGTTCATTGGATAGTGTGTGTTCTGGGAGGTGGGGGGCCATTCTAGATGTTTGCTGTTTAACCCAGCGCCCTGAAATTTAGAGACACAGCCCACAGCCGTGTGGATGATTTTAGCCCATGGAGCAGACTGGCAGAGATGGTGACTTTGGCCTTATTGCAGTTGATTTCTCGGGACAGAGTATGGCTGGTGTGTGGTTCTTGAGTTGTACTGGTCTCGTCCCCAATGTGGGGCAGAGTCTCTGGGTGTGTTTTAATGGCTATTTGAATGCTTTTAAGGAAACTTAAGGAACAATGAAGTCCGCACTTAACTGTTCCACGACCTAGAAGTGCAAGTGGCTGAAGTCTTTGTCTGTGTACAGTGACAAATGTGCATCTCATACATGTACACTTACATGTGTGTGCAGAGGGCACACACAGGGGAGGCTGGAGGCGGCCCCTGCTTGCCCATCAGCGGGCAAACATCCGTCTTTTCCCCTCTCGCCCTGACTGGGTGTGGGGCAGGATGTTGGCTTGCGAGTTCGTCAGAACTAAGGAGAGAGGATAAAGTTGAGGGAAATTTATTTTAATTGCGTCATGACAATGAGATGAAGTCTATTTCTGCTTCTCCGCATCCGAGATGCTTTATTTGAGCAATTAAAATGTCAGGCCACATACCTGTGAAATGTTAACCCTACAAGGAAAAGACAGACCCTAAAGAGCCTTTTTCCCCCCTTTAAAAAAAAAAGCCACCAAACCAAGCAGGTGATCGGAGTTGATTAAGAGAGGGGTCTACCGCCGCCCGGGTTTGGCCAAATCTTTCGTTTGGAAATTGCCCGCGAGCTGGGTACTCGGCGCCTGCCCACCCCCACCCACTACCCCTCTGCGAAGAATCGGGGGACTTCTTTCTCTCTCTCGGGCATCGCGGGCGCACAGATGCGCCGGGAGTCCCGGGTGGTGCGCGCGCGGCGCCTTCCGTGGCCTCGCCAAGTTGCCAAGAGGCGCAGCCCTCGATCCCGTCCCCAGCC